AAATATCCTGCTGGTTTTTACATGCTCTTATTGGTTGTTTTTGGGTTTTACCACCATATGTTATTTATGAAATTTTAATTGAAAAAACTGAAATATCTATCTGGAAATAGTAAAATTTTATTTTAAAAAACATAAAAAAGAAAGTATTTTTTATCTATACACGTTCAATTTTTTGTGGACATTTTCACTGTTAAAGAATTTTAAACAAAACAGAATAACGTGACAACATCGACATATCAAGAATATAATATAAAAAAATATATGGTTTCCCATTAAGAAAAAGTGAAAATATGTTTCGTCTCACAAACAGTATACTTGTATTGTTTATATAGCTTAAATATTTATACAATAACTACATACAGAGTGAGTCCATAGTGACTTGATTTTCCGACTTTTAGAAATAATTTCTCGTTTTTCAATTTTCGAATTTTCAGTTCTTTTGCAATTCTTCGATAGTTCAGTATCTAGATTTTTAATTTTTAAATTTTGCAATTTCCCGATTTTCCAGTTTTTCACTTTTTAAGTTTTTATTTTCTCAAAGAGAGGTTCCATTTCTGTGCAAACAAATTTTTTCAGTGTTATTTCTGAAATATCGAAAAATACAATTTACACATTTGATGAATATCTAAAATGTAAAGATTTCAATTGTTTAAATATGTAAGTAGGTAGCCTAAGCAATTAATGACCTGTGTAAAACAATTTGTTTTTAACACCAATAAATTATCTTATCTTATCTTACCTAAATTGGCAAATCAACTTAGTTTAACCCATTCTAATTTTCCTCTTCTTAAAGTTTACAACCGCAGTTTATTTTTGAAGTTCCGAACTGACGTTGCCACATTATTCTAGTTTTCTTGAAACCGAAAAATCGAAAAAATTGTATAATTTTTGAATTTTTTGAATTTATATTTTCAGAATTACATAAAAGTTTATAATTTTTCGAAAAAGTTGGATGTTTTATAGTATTTCAGGGGCGAGGGAAGTTCTGTCGAAATAACTTTTGACCAATTTTTTTATAAATATTACACTTTACGCAAATGTAACACATTTATAATAAACGTAAAACTATCGCAATTTGTCAAAATTACAAAAGGGTTTCAAAAACGACACTGTAAAAAAACGATTCATCGAAAAATCGAAAATTTAGAAAGAATAAAAATTGAAAAATCGAAAAATCGAAAAATAAAAAATCTGAGTCGAAAAATCGAATAATTGAAAAATCAAAACCGAGAAACTGAAGAACTGGAATTGAGAAATGGGAGAATCAAAATATTGAAAAGTCTAAATGTAGAAAAGTCGAGCAGTAAAAAAATCAAAAATCGAAAATTTAGAAACAATAAAAATTGAAAAATTGAAAAACCGTAAAATTGAAAGATGATAAAACTGAAACATCGGAAAATAGAGAAATCTAAAAATAAAAAAATCAAATAATCGAAAAATTGAAAAATCAAAAACTCCCAAAAATTGAAGAATTGAAATTGAGAAATGACTTGATTCTGATATTGAAATATCTAAAAGTCAAAAAGTCAAGCAGTCGAAAAATCAAAATATCGAACATTTAGAAACAATAAATATTGAAAAATTGAAACACCGAAAAATAAAAAAATCAAAAAGTTGAAAAAACGAAAAATTGAAAAATCAAAAACTGAGAAAACGAAAAACTGAAAATCGAAAAATGAAAAATCGGTTAATCGAAAAACGAAAATTAAGAAACAATAAACATTGAAAAATTAAAAAACCGAAAAATTGAAAAATCGTAAAACTGAAATATCGGTAAATAGAGAAAAGGAAAAATAAAAAAATCGAGAAATGGAGAATCGAGCAAAATGAAAAATCCCAAAAATGAATTCGAAAAACGTGAAAATTTTCAGTTTTTAGATGTTTCAATTTTTAGGTTTACAATTTTTCGGTTTTCAGTTTTTCAATTTCTCCACTAAGATTTTTAATTTTTCGTTTTTTCAGTTTTAACACTTTTCAGTTTTTCGATTTTTCGTTTCTTCCATTTTTGATTTGCTTTTTTATAGTTTTCATTTTAAATATTTAATAATAACTGTACTTTTAAAATGTTTCACTTTTTTATTTTAACGATTTTAGAATTTTTCCATTTTTATAAACTATTAGATTCGAAAACGTTTTCATTCATCGGATTTTTAAATTTTTCTATTTTTAATTTTTCAGTTATCGACTTCACAATTTTGACGATTCTATAATTTTTCGAATCAAAAAAATGGAAAATTGGAAAATTGAAAAATCAAAAATGAAAAAACGAGAATGTATAAAATGGAAACTGAAAATTCTAAAAACTGGAAATCAGAAACTTGAAAAATTAAAGAAACGAAAATTTCAGAAATCAAAAGATTAAAAATTCAGGCACATACAATTTTTTTTGAGAATATCATTTGCCAAAACTGGTCTTATTTTACCAGGTACTTGCCCCGCCCACCCACCCTCTCTTTTCTTAGAGGGTATCTCATTTGTCAAAATCAATTTTATCTTAGCAGGTTCTAGCCCCGCCCACCCACCCTCTCTTTTCTTAGAGGGTATCTCATTTGCCAAAATCACTCTTATCTTAGCAGGTACTAACAAAGGCCAGTGACTTAATCGCATACCTTAAAAGATGTTTAAAAGATTATTACATAGCGAATAAAAGAAAACAAGTTATTTCGATTATATGGTGTTCCTCAGAGTTGGATATTGTATATTGTTACTCTTCATACGATACACAAACGATTACCACCATGTTTAAACCGAAAGAAAAGTGTCCTTAATGAATCTAAAAATTATTATAAAAGCCACAAAATCTGCTATATATGCTATCTTTATCAGTGTAGTTGTTTTATGAGAATCAAATTTATAACAGTTCATAATTTTGCAGATCTATTTACCGCAAGGGGTGGAGTCTACAATACATTTTTTAGGAATTAAATTTGACAAAAAATCTTGTTTTTTATTATTAAACTTTCTTGTGAAAGCCGGGTCAGATGGTCTCGTTTAATAATGGATATGCCGGACTTGACTTAGCATAACGTGATGTGACCTGATTTGGTATGACCTTATTGAATATAATACCTGTTTCATTTTTGATCTTTGACTTGACATAACCTCACTTTACATGACCTGACTTGATATGACCTGACTTCTGACGTGATCTGACTTGACATAATTTGACTGGATCGACCTGACTTCAGATGATTTGGCTTGACATGACCTGACTTGACACGACCTGACTTGAGATGATTTGCCTTGATATGACCTGACTTAATATGACGTAACTTATTTGTTTTATTGCCAAAAAAAAATCGTTCACATTTGGCAAGTTGATATTTTTTCTTTAATATTCTTATTAAATAATTCTGCACTGCTGTGTGTATTTTATTTTTTAAAATAATTCATTAGTGCACGAACAATTTTTGACAAAACTCAGTTAGAGGTAAAATTCCTATTATTGAGGAGAAATATTGAATATGTCCAACGTGTTTTTAAGTTTGGTTCTGACGGCACATCGATATCTTCAATAACAGAGGTGACATATGCAGCAAATAAATGCATGGACTGTGCATAATTTTCGAATGATTTAGTTTCATTTTATTTTTAGAATAAGTTTAGAAGCACGGAAATTATTTATCAACCCTACATGTTAGTCCTTTAATGTTTTAATTACATTAAGTGCAGATTTAAAGTAAATAATTTACTCCATTAAAATATACTTTAGCTAATTAAACAAAATAAATTAAAAAACAGAAATATGAGCTTGAAATGAGCTTCCAAGACTAAATTCTCTAGTAATAAAATTTATTTTATTATGGGAGGATTATACTCTGAAACTGACGTCACTTTTCTGCTATATACTATTCATCTTTTTTATGAAATTACTGTACCCTACTTAATACGGTTTGATTAAACCTAATACTTCATTTGAGGCAATTTAATTACTTAGGAACTAAAAGGTTTGACTGAAAAGGGCGGGAATTATGTTACATTTTTATATAGAGGATGTTTCATTAATTTCCAAATTACTAATTATACATCTTGAAACCGGTTAAAGATATTGAAATTCTGTGAACGCCGCAGTTTTAGCCTGAAGGGGCAAGTTTAATTTTTAAAATTGCAATGCATGTTTTTCGAACGAGCATGATAACCGTTTTCAAGTAATAAAGTCGTAAAGTTTTATCTGCGACACCATAAAAGGGATAGCAGCACTTTTAGTTTCAATGGAAGTGAAGTGACAGCTTTTTTAATCTTTTTTGAACACACTTGCTTCTAGAGTACATGAATATGAAATTTAAAAATGGCTGTATACAAGGTGATTCTTGAAGATTGTACGTCAAGTTGATTTTTTGCCGCTTCGTCGTTGACTTTCTGATGAAAATTTAAGACACCTGGCACGTGTGCACATTTCCCACTTTTTCGTGCATATGTACATATAACCCAACCCTTAATGATGAATTACAACCCCCCACCCCCCTTGTCGTCGACATACGCGAAAATCCCGCTACAACTCAGTCTTGGTAATCGAATAAAACTGTCCTCTTGTTTACTAAAAAAGCAATTCTCTCGGAAAAAAGCACCCGACCTTAACCACATAAGCATCATTCACAATTGTAGGCAGCAATTTCAATAAATTTTCCGTCCGACATGCTATTCCCGGTACCTAAATAGGTCTACAGGATTGCCTCGGCGGGCCACTTTCCTCCGATTTTATCTTTCCTCATCTTTTTCATAGATTAGCCGTCACTTGCTTTCATTCAAACGGAACGACCGGCGCTTCGTTCATCTCTCGGGCGGCGCATTAAAAGATTGTCGACGTCTGGCGGCGAGACGCCGCCCCCAAGGCTTAATCCGCCGCTCCACGACGGATTATCAAGGCGAGTAAATAAGGAAAAATCGCTCGGCGGTTCAAAATCGAAATCGTGCGGACAACATCCAAGTGAGAATATTTTCTGAAGGAGTTGTACGCATATTTTCGACTCTAGACCGCCGCCGCACGGGCACGAAAATACCTCTCCGCTGGCCACGGCCTCGCCGGGGATGAACAGCTCCGGGTAGATGGTGTCCAGGTACCACTTGAAGCTCTTGCAGCCGAGATTGTCGCGCAGCCGCTTCCTGGAGCTGATGTCCCCGAAGTCGCCTTTGTCGTTGCCTATCCTCTGGTAGTAGTATTTCGAGTACTCGTCTAGCCAGACTTCCGCCAAACGTACGGAGTTCCGGCGCAACACGTTGACGCCGCTGCGCCACTTGTACGGCGAACGCTTCCGGAAGATGTGACCCACGTGGGAGCAGGGGACGATTTCGAGGGTGCCGCCGCACATCCAGGTCTTGAAGGAGAGCTCGAGGTTTTCGCCGCCCCAGATGTCGAAGCCGTTGTCGTACGTTCCTAGTTTTTCGAAGAATTTCTGGAAGAAAATTACATAGATTAGTTACTGGTGTTGGTTTTGAATGGTTTTTAGTTTTATTGAATATTTATTAGGGGTGATCAATGTGTTGTTTGATGTGTAGGAATGTGTTAGTTGCAGCTACATAAAATTTTATGGCTGATAATAAAAATACAGCGAATCAATATAAAGATGATTTATACTTTACAATGGTAGGTGTTTCGTTTATAGGAGAAGGCGTCCAGAGAACCAGAATAATACGTCATTTTTTCGTGGAAAGAGAATACAGTTTAATATATAATTTTTGTTGTTGATTGCGTGATATTGCGGGTTGACAGTAGATGTTGAATTCTGATAGAAGATGGAGGTTGTTTAGGGTTTTTGAATTTTACTACTTGACTGCAGATGGAGATTTTAGAGATTGAGAATTAGTTTAGGTATTACATCTTACATTTCAAAGAAAAAAGTCAACTACAGTGTCAGGTGCAGAATTCGAACCTTCGCTCGTTTTCCGAACCAGAACTTAAATCTAGCGCTATGGTCCGCTCGTCTAATCTGACTACAACTAAAGTTGTCTAACTGTGTATTCAAACAAGTAGTACATTAAAGTACATAAGAATTACGAAGTTCACTCTTTGACTTTGAAGTTTCATATTTTCGAAAGTTTGGTTCAGGTTTTTTAAACAATTTTTTTCGAGTTCTTCAGTGATTTCTTAATAACATGCCATCGAGCTTATTCGCGCGTGTTTGATCACCCTGTATGCACGGGAGAAAAAGTCGAAAAACAACGAAAGCATGACAAAATAAATTATTAAAAGTATCATTTAATGTTGCGCCATGTTTTTCACGTTATTATGATAATAGAGAGAATTTCTGGGGCATGAAGTAGAGATTAATTATTTAAACTGATGTCGGGTAACTTTTAATAAGCTATTCGTTTAAAAAATTAAGGGGAACGCTGGACGAGAGACAAGTTTGAATTGGGCGCCATTTGTTGCCTTAAACGCAACCAGCAATTCTTCTTTAAATCTACCTGACGCGCTGGGATAGACGACTACCGGACGTGGGTCATAAAAACATCCTAAGCCGATAATGCAGAATAATGATAATTTATGACAGGCGGCCCACAACATACCTTCAGCACAGAATAATCATTTCTCGTATTCTTTTGACATATTAATTTTAATATTCGAGATAATTATTATAATATTCAAACACAATTTAGACACTGTAGAACAAACAAGGCTTATCAAGCCCGTCTACTAGTTTATTCGCCTAAATGTATTATTGATACCATTTTCAAATTACACCAAAATTGAAAAATCGAAAACTTAATAATAGAAAAATTGAAACATTTTAAATGAAAAAAATCGATAAATTGAAAAATCTATAAATCGAGAAATTGAACAATCTAAAAATTAAACAATTTAAAAATCGAAGAATTGGAAAACCAAAAAATCTAAACCGAGAACTTGAAAATCGAATAATCGAGAAATCAAAACATCAAGGAGAACAAAAAAATTAACAGAAAATCTAGAACTTAAAAATTGAAAAATTAAAATACCTATCGAAAAATTGAAAAACCCAGAAATCGAAATATCAAAAAATGGAAAAATTGAACAACCGAAACATTGCAAAATCCCAGAACTGAAATACTGAAAAACTGAAAAATAGAAGGAAAACTGAAAAATCGAAAAAGTGAAAAAATTCAAAATTGAAATCTTGAAAACTGAAAAATGGAAGGAAAATTGAAGAATCGGAAAAGTGAAAAAATCCAAAACTGAAACATTGAAAAATTGAGAAATCGAAAAATTGAAAAATCACAATTGAAGAAAGAATTGAAAAATCAAGAAATAGAGAAATGGGAAAATCAAAAAATTAGTTAATCGAAAAATTGAAAAATCGAAAAATTTAGAAACGTCAATAATTGAAAACTGAAAAATAAAATTTAAAAATCGTAAAACTGAAATTTCGGAAAATTGAGAAATCGAAAAATGAAAAAATTCGAGAAACCGAAAATATGAAGAATCCAGAAATCGAAGAATCGATAAATTTAAAAATCCCAATAGTAATATGTCGAAAAATTGAGAAATCGAAATCGAGCAAAACCGAAGTATCGTAAAGTTAATAAATTGAAAAACTGAAAATTTTTGAAAAAAAAAAATCGAATCAAAAACTAAAAATTCAAAAAATCGAGAAATTGAACAATCAAAAAATCAAAACATTGAAATCCCAGTAAGTTGATAAATAGGAAAATTTAAAAAACAGAAATTTTAAAAATCCAAGAATTGAACAACAAAAAAAATCTAAGCCTGAAACCTCAAAAAATCGAATGATCGAGAACTCAAAACATCAAAGAAAACAAAAAATCTAAAATTTAATAATTCGACAAACCTAAAACTTTAAAAACTGAAAAATTAAAATATCGAAAAATTTAAAAACCGAGAAAACACAATACCAAAAATTTGAAAAATTGAAGAAACGAAATATTGCAAAATTCCAAAGCTGAAATATTGAAAAACCTAAAAATGGAAGAAAAATTAAAGAATCGAAACAGTGAAAAAATCCCAAACTGAAACATTGAAAAATTGAGAAATGGAGAAATGGGAAAATCAAAAAAATTGGTCTAAAGAGTTTAGACAGTAGTTCTCTCGCTATCGGAAACGTGACGACTGCATGCCTATTATGTTTTTTTTTTCACATTAGATTTCAAAGCATTCGGTTTTGTAGTTCCTGATTAAATCAATAAAATAAGTTTGCGCATTCATTAAATTTTTTGAGTCACCCTATATATCCGAATCCAAAAAATATGAATGGGATGATAAATTACAAGAAGAGACTCTTCATATTTTGTACATTTTAGATAGGATTTATTCAGCAAAATTTTGAGATGACGTCATCAATTTTTTAGAGGGGATAAGTAAATATATTGTGATTAAAACGGTCCTGGTTTAATAACAAAAAAATATTGTTCGTCTATGAAACAAGCTCGTCTTAGACAAAGTATTCGTAAAAAAAATATGTCGTAAAAAAATGTACGTATGCTGGTCCCGACTGCGATTATGGATTAAATATTTTTTAGAAAATCCTGTCATGGATGTAGAAACATTTGTGACAGCCAAAGGGGTTTTTTTGAGAAAATTATCTTTGAATTTAGACCAAATTGAAATAGACACTAGGCAACAGGTACATTTGGGTAAAAGAAAGAGAAATTAGGGTTACGGCTTCAAATTTTGGACGTATTTACAAACTTAGACCGACTACAGCAATAGCTAAAACTGTGGAGTCTCTGTTGTACAGTACATTTAGAGGTAATAGTCATACATACTATGGACAGCAAAGTGAGGAAAAAGCTGCCAAGTGTTTTGAAATAAATAAAAATATAAAAACTGAACGGTGTGGCTTGTTTATTTCAAAACAATTTCTTTACTTGGCTGCTAGTCCAGACAGGGTTCTCGAGGATAGGAGTGCATTAGCCGAAATTAAATGCCCTTCAAAATCGCAAGATTTGTCTCGCGAAGAAGCGGTTAGAAAAAAAATAATCAAATTTTATACATGGACAGACAGAGAATTGAAACTAAAAAAAAATCATGACTACTACTTTGAAGTTCAGGGACAAATGCTTGTTGCAAGTTTATTTTGTTGTGTGGATACCCAAAGGAATAAATATAGAAAAAATTTATAAAGACGAAGAAACATGTAAAAAGATGGCAGATAAACTTGGCAGATTTTACTTTGGCGCATTATTGCCCGAAATAATTGATTCAAGAAGAAAGAGGAACCTGCCTTTGCGAGATATTTTTTTTAAATAAATAGAATTTGTTTCTATTTTTTTATGTACTGTAATTAATTTATTAAGAGTACATTTTTCATCACCAAGACTTGCATATTTTTATTATAAATATATTTTGAAAATGATCTCTCGGCAAATGAAAACATATACGAGCACTTTTTTCGAGTAAACAAAAAAGCCCTACGCCCAGTAAGGCGTAGGGCTTTTTTAAAACAGCTCCTTTCTGGGATAAGTAGTAGATACACTTAGCTACGTATACGTGTTAAACAAAAGCTGTATTTTATATATTTTTTATTATTAAGACCCACCACTGACCCGGAAATGACCGGCATTCAGGCAAGACTTCTATCATTACGGGTACTAAGACCAAGTAATGATATGAATTGATTAGATTAACAGAACAACTTTCGAGATTCTAGAATTACAGCATACAAATTAGTCTGCTATTATTCTCTAATCTCACCCCATCCCCAAAAGTCCAGCGTAACTACCGACCATTTATCCGCGCATCACATGAAAAGTGACCTACACTACTCTGACCTACTGGTGCTAATCTAATCTGACTGACATGATCAGACTGTTCAAGAAACTTACGAACAATATGACATGTTCCTAACAAAACAGCTTTTTGAATTTTGACAATTATTGAATCATTCAAATGCAAAGACTTTAAATTCTCAACTAAGCTATTTGGAACTACACCTACATTAGAGATAACTAGGGGTAGAATTGAAATTTTTTTAAGATTCAACATGGATTTCATTTCTATCGATAATTGTAGATATTTTGAAATCTTGGTGTCGTATGTTTGAATAATGTTGTTTGTGTTAGGAATAGCAATGTCAATAAGAATGGCTTCGTTCGTGTGTTTTTTGATAAGTATGATGTCTGGTCTGTTAGCTGTAATGTTTAAGTCTGTAAGTATTGTGCGATCCCAGTATAATTTGTATTTGTTATTTTCAAGGAATGGAGACGGAATATAAGTGTAATAGGGTGTCGTATCTTCGATTAAGTTCATAAGTGTTGCTAATTCTTTGTGAATGATTTTGGCTGCGTTGTCGTGTCTAGCTTTGTAATCAGTTTGTGCTAGGATGCTGCAAGAAGAGATTATGTGCTGGATCGTTTCAGGTTTTGCTTTGCATAGGCGACAGCAGTCGTTTTTTATGTTCGGATCTTTCATGATGTATTTTCTATAATTCTTGGTATTGATTACTTGGTCTTGAATAGC